CAGTGGCAGTCGGTTTCAGATAAGATGGACTAGGAAGAAGGGCCTGGTGATCTACTCCTGGAAATAAGCAATGACAATCCTGTGGAGCACAGTGAGTGATGGGGATGGTGGGGGCCAGGCAGCATTTCATTCAGTCAGCCAGGGCTGACTCCACCCGCAGCTAAAAACACTTACTCTCCCGGGAATACTACCATCATCAAAATACTGCAAATGCGATTTTAATGAGGTTACACTTGTAGACTCTACCTAGAGGCAGAGTGCAGAGACCTGAATTACACTTAGAAAACAAAATTTAAAAGCTCTTCCTTTCACATTAACAATTGCAACAACAAATACAATGCGATCAGGGTTGGTGGGTAGTCAGCTAGTCGGATAACTGGTTTAAGTGCAGAAGTCAACTGTGGTACACAAAGCTGAATCTCTAAATTTGAACTTACAAGCTATAGATGCACATTCACTGGTAACAAAAGCCAACACCTTTTCTTAGAAAATAAACCTGCTGACTGGAGGGCCCATGATTTTGGAGTCTTTTTTTGGTATGAGCCATATCTACAATTTCCAGTTTCTGCTTTTTTTTTTTTCTTAAAGCAGAGCAAACACTTACATTCTCAAAGTATAAACACTTACATTCTCGAAGTATCTGAGTACAGGACCCTTCTGGATTTTTACCATGTTTTTTGCAACCATCTCACCTTAAAGTATGCTAACGATAAAGCTGATCATTCAACCCCACCCTGAGGTTCCACAGGTGAGAGACCTAGAGATCTGCTGCAGACTTTACAGACAGGAAACCCCTAGGGGTCATTTGAACAGACACCACCACCACCACTCTATAAAGTGATAAGGAGTTTTGGTGACTTGCTTTCTGTCTTTCTAAGCAATTAACTCAGTTCTCAGAAAAACAATTTCCCTGTAGCACTCAGGTTTTATTAAGTAATAGAATCACAAATTAAATTACAATAACAAGTACAACTCTCAACTGACTGCTGGTAGGCATCGGCTCCACTGGTGAGCTCCCATAAGAGAGCAGGTCTGCTGGCCCAGAGCCTCTCAAACACAGGTTCCAGCCTGAGGTGGGAATCCAGATCCAAAGACAACACTTTGAGTAATAAGATGCTCACTGATGTTGTACACCAAGCTACAAGCATCAGTATGCTTTATAAAGGATCCTACCCAAAATACCCCGTTGCCTCATAGCAACCCCACAGGGCAGAGTAGAACTGCCCTATATGTTTTCCAAGAGTGAAAATCTGTATGGGAGCAGTCCCAGCTTTCTCACGAGGAGCAGCTGGTGGGTTTGAACCAGTGACCTTGAGGTTAACCCATTGAGATGCCAGAGCTCCTGAGGAACCTACAATGCCATTTCATTTGGGGGATCGAGTAGGGATCAACTAGGAGAGCTTCTACTATGATAAAAACAAACAAACCAACAAACCTACTGCCATCAAGCTGATTCTAGCTCATTGCAATCCTACAGGACACAAGGGAATCGCTCAGCAGGCTACAAGTTTTTATGAAAGCCAACTGCCTCATCGTTCTCCCAAGAAGTGGCAGGTAGGTTCAAAGTGCTGACCTTTCCATTAACAGCCCAAAACTGAACCCACTGTACTACTGGGGGATCCTTTTGTGATACTTAACAAAATTCAGGAAGCCGGGAAAAGGGAAGGTGTGAGATGACTATGCTAAATTACTCATCTTTCCTAGCACAAAGTCCACAGGTATGGTCTATGTTAGATATATCTAGAAATAAACATAGAAGCATTTGACTTAAGTATGAAATGGCCAGCTGATCTATTACTGCCATGCAATTCCTATAGAAATCCCCGCTGACTTATTTGCAGAAGTTAATAAAATGATCTTAACATTCATATTCAAGTTTCAATTTTCAAGAGACCCTGAATAGCCAAAACAATTCTGCAAAAGAACTAAGTAAGAAGACTCATACATCCCAATTTCAAAACTTACTAGAAAACTATAGTAGTTAACACAGTGCAGTATGGCATAGGACAGACCCATCCATCAATAGAATCTAATTTTTGAGAAAGGTGCCAAGAAGATTAAGTAGGGAGAGAATCATATTTTTCACAAATGATGCTAAAACAACTAGGTATCCACATGGGAAAAAAATGAAGCTGGACCCCCAACTCACACCATATACAAAAATTAACTCAAAATGGACCAAAGGCCTAAACTTAAGAGCTATTGTTGTTAAGTGCAACCTTATATAGGGTTTCCAAAGAGCAGCTGGTGAACCACTGACCTTGTGGTTAGCAGCAGTTCAATGTTTATTCTACACCAGGACTAAGATGATAAAATTCTTAGAAGAAAATATAGGCACAAATCTTCATGACCTTATGGGCAATGGTTTCTTAGATATGACACTAAAAGGACAAGCAACAAAAGAAAACACAGATAAGCTGGATATGAACAAAATTAAAACTTGTGCTTCCAACAACACCATCAAAAAGATAAACGACAACCCACAGAATAGGAAAGAAAATATAATGTGTCAGACTGCAAAGTCGTTTGAACTGCAAGGTCAGTGGTTCAAGCTCACTTCAGCTGCTCCTTGAAAACCCTATAAACAGGGTCACTATGGGTCAGAATCTACTCAATTGTACTTAACAACAACACCTTTTACAACTTAATAAAAAGATAAGTAACCTGGTACGATGAAAAATACATAGATCGATGGAACACAATTGAGAACCCAGAAGTAAATCCATCCACATACAGTCAGCTGATCTTTGACAAAGGGCCAGAACATATTACATGCAGAAGAGAGTCTGTTCAACAAATGATGTTGGCAAAACCAAATAGATTTTCAGAAGAATAAAGGAAGACCCATGTCTCACCCCATATACAAAAACAAACTCAACATGGATTAAAGACCTAAATGTAAAACCTAGAACTATAATGATCATCAATGAAAAACAAGGGACAAACTTAGGGTCTCTAATACATGGCATACATACACTATCAAACATTGCAAAAATTGCAAAAGCAATAGAAGACAAAATAGATGGCTGGGACCTCCTAAAAATTAGAAATTTAAATATACCAGAAATACATGAGTTAGAAAGAGAAAAAAGGAACATTTTTTGATGGTTGCCAGGGATGGGGGGAAGGGAGAGTAGTTCACTGGCTAGAGGGTAGACTTCTTAAGCAATATACAAGAAGGAAAGAGAAATATACAGGAAAAGGGAAGTTGGCAGAAGATTGAGGAAGACATGTAAAGACAAAGGGAGGCATATAAGGGTTAAAGGGAATAGAGGTAAATAATGATACAACCTTGGAACAACAATGTTCTGCCGATAGATACATGGAGAGAGACACATGCTAAATGGGTATGGGAGGAAGAGTGGAACATTTATATAAATTTATATATCCCACAGATAGATACATATAAGAGTTTGAAAGAGGATATTGGTACATGAGTATTTACCTTTCCTACAAACACAACTATGAATGTGATGGAGCATACAGCAGGCAAAATGATAAAAATTTCTTAGATATTATCAAATATCTTAAGTCATGGAGCAACTGAGTTTGGGGGCTCAAGACCGGAGTCTCAGTGGGCACTGTGGTCAACTGACATAAGCCACAAAGACAACGTTCTATATCCTACTATAGTGAATAACATCTGGGATATTAAAAACTCAGGAGCTGTCGTCTAAGGTCCATGTGCTGAAGAAAGAAGAGTGATAAGATCTGAAGATGCTTAGAATCAACTAGTCCAGTGGACTAATGGAGCATGTGAACATCAGTTTCCTCAACTCTGGGACCAAAAGAACTAGATGGTGACCAGCTATCACTACCAACTGTTCTGAACAAGATCAATCACATTAGAAGGTCCTGGATAAGAGTGATAGAATATGTGGAACAAAACTCAAAATTATTTTAAAAAACAACACCACTCAAAAATCACCAAGCTTACTGGTCAGAAAGAGACTGGAGGAACCCAAGTCTATGGCCCTTGACTACCGTTGGGGTCTGGAAAGGAACTCACACTCATGGCTCCATTTCCAGCCAGGCAGAGTACGTAGGTAGGTATATAGGGGGGAGTCCTGTGTGGCGCTGTGGGTTAATGCACCAGACTGCAAAGCTGTTTGAACTGCAAGGTCGGCGTTTCAAGCTCACCAGCTGCTCCTCGAAAACCCTATACAGGGTTGCTATGGGTTGGAACTGACTTAATGGCACTTAACAACAACAACAAAGTGAGGAATGCTCACTATGAATGAAGTGAGAAGTGTTGGGAAGATAGGTAGAATGGAAATAGGGGCAACAGGGAAGAAGCAGGATGACTGCTGTTCCATGGAGGGGAATGAAACAAAGTGTATGATTTGCTGACTATAAACTGATGATCTTGTCTGTAAACCTTTACTCAATTCACAATAAAAAATTCAACATAAATAACTAAATACCAAAAACCCTCAGCATTAAAATCTTTAAAATTTTTTAAAAAGAGTAAGTAACATCATTTAAAAAACGGACAAAAGATCTGAATTGAAACTGATAAGCACATGAGATGTTCAACCTCACTAGCCATCAGAGAAAGGCAAATTAAAACCACAAGGATAAACCACTTCACACCCACTAGGACAGTTATATAATTTACATATAAGCAACAGATTTTATATAGAGAAATACAAACCTTGACATATATATAGAAAAAGAATGACAAAGCTAAGCGTATGCAGTAAAATGCTAATATTTGGAGCATATGGGTAAAGGGTACATATGAATTATTTGTACAATCTTTGTACAATCTTGCCAGTCTTCTGTAAGTCCGAAATATTTCCAAATAAAAAGCTGAAAATTTAAAATAAACACTTCCCAATTTTCATGTCGGAAAACTAGGCACAGAAGGGACTTGCCCAGCGTCACACAGATGGTAAATGCCAGACCTGGAACTGAAAACTCAACATTTTTTCTCCAGGCTGGCTGTTCTCAAACTAGTTCCCTAAATGACTCCCTCCTGGGATGTATTCCATCCTTACCTGATATCCTGTGATGGGGCAACTTCAGGCTTCAGTTGCACACTCAGGGGCACCCTTCGTTCTGCCAGCCAGATGGCACACTTCATGGCTACCCGCTCATCCCCGCCTGCCACTGCCCGGCTGAGGCTCAGGGCCACCTCCTCTGCTGGAAGCCAGCACAGCAGAGACAAGTTAATACCAGGGTTTATTTTTCAAGAGCTGAAGGTGAGGAAGGAGGGAGGAGGTGATCCTTTGTACTATGATGCTTCCTGTCTTCCTGGTGAACTCCTACAAATCCTTCAGCATCCAGCTTAAAACACCCTTCCTCTGGGAGGCCTTTCCTGACATTTGCCCCAGTTCTCCTCACACTAGGCTCAGTTGGGTTAAATTTTTCCTTCATATTTCCATTTATTTATCCAACAAGCATTTACTGAATTCCTATTGTGTGCTGGTCACTGTCCCAAGAACTAGGACTCACAGTGACTAAGATAAATAGGGTCCCTCTCCTCATGGACTTCCCAGCCCCATGGGGAAACAGCCAATTAACAAGTTTAACAAATGAGCAACAGCAATATATTCAAGACTGTGATCCATACTCAGGAGATAAACAAGGAGATCAAGGAAGGATTCTGGGAGGTGATACTGAAGCTGAGAGTTGTAAGAAAAGATACTGGACTGTCAAGACTCAGGGCAGGATGGGTGTTCAGGTAGAGAGAACAGCAAGGGCAAAGGTTTTGAGGCAAGAAATGGTTGGATTAGAACAAAGAGGCCAGTGAGGTCAGTGACGCCCCCAGGCCTTGTGAACTGTCCATGGGCTATGGGTTTTGTTCTGAGAATGCAGGGGAAGGTTAAGGGCAGGGCACTGGCCAGATCTGACTTGGGCTCACAAAGCTGAGTGGAAGAGACAAGAAGGGAAGCCAGGTCAACTGAGGTATGTCTGTCTCCACAGCAGGGAGGTCGCCAAGTTAAACGCCCATTGTCTCTGGGATCCCCCATCAGGATCTCTACACAGTGCTGGCCCAAGGAGGTCTCAGAATTGGCAAGACCCATCTGAAAGTCAGAGGGTCCCAAGGGAGAAAACTGAGGGGGAGCTTGGCGGAAGGAAGGCCCCGGTGGGAGAAAGACCCACCTCGAAGTCCCCCAGCCACCTCCAATCTGTGCCTACCTTTCTTGGTCTTCTCGTCCATCGGGCGTGGGTGGGCCCATCCCCCCAGGCGGGGGCCGCGGCTCCTGGAAAGTGCTACCGCCGCGCGGTCACCTGAGGAAGGGCGGGCGACCAGGAACAATTCAGCCCCAGCTGAGTGGCCTCTGGCGCGGCCTGAGCCTTCTTTGGGCCGAGTTGCCCCCGGCAGTACTCGTGACGTCTCGCACGACCCGGGGAGCGGAGATTTCGCCTGGGCTAGGGCAAGGGTCGGGACTCCTGGGAGGGTGAAGGGACTGGAGGATCCGACCCAAGCCCTCATCCTCTCATTAACTGGGCAGGCCCGTGGGGGAGGTCCCATTGAAGGGTCCCAGTGAAGCCCCGCCCAGGATTCAAGCCCACCTCATTCTCCTCCACCCGAGGCCCCGTCATTCGGGAGGAGCTGCTAGAAGAGAAAGTGAAAGTAGCGGCCCCGGAAGTAGAGTGGGTTGGGGTGGGACGAGCGGAAAAGTGTCCCCGATCTGGACTCTCCCGAGGCCCATTACATTAGGACGGAGCCTAGGCCGTCCCAGGTGCCCGCCGCGAGGTCACCGCGGTTCCGAGTGCTAAATCTCTAGTGTGGGCGACTCCACCCCGTCCCCCAGAGCTGACTCCCAATCCCGAACCCCTACTCACCCGCCCAGCCGCGCTCTCCCGGCCCAGGGGGGAGGAGGAGGGCGGGGGGAGGGGAGGCTGGGCCGAGGGCTCCTTTGAACCAGAAGCCAACCTCGGAGGTGCCCCGCCCTCCCTATCCCCAAATACAGCGGCACCAGCCCGGGTCCTTAGACTGGTTCACAGGTGAGGCACTGTTGTGACTGCCCAAAGTCACACGGACGGAATTAGAATCCAGGCCTGGCAAATTCTCAACGGTGTTCATTCTCAAATTCTACGTGCTTCCGGAGTCGTGAGTGAAGCTTGCATGTTCTTGGCACAAACTGAGAGGCCTCTGCATCCTCCAGGACCCTCCGTCCCTCATCTCTCCCACCCGTCAAGAACAGCAGATTCTGCCGGCTCCACTGCAGAATAGATCCAAAATCTGTCACCCCTCATCTCCTCCAGTCCCCATCCCGCTCTGACTCGCCAAGTGCCCTATACTTGCTTCTCACTGAGCCCCCCTTTCCCCGCCCCCCAGTTCATTTTCCATGCAGGGTCTTGTTAAAATAGAAAGCAAAGCATGTCATTCCTCGGCTCAAAATACTCCTAAAGCTCCCATCTCACTCAAAGTAAATATCAAAGTCCCCACAACCCACCCGGTTCACTGCCTTTCTCTCAGCTCACTTAACACAAGCCCCACTGGCCTGGATCCTGAAACAAATCAGGTACGCGCCTACCTCAAGGTCTGCGCATTTGTCTATTTTGTCTGCTGTGTTCCTGATGTCTAGAACAGTTCCTAACACGACTTAGCTGTTCAAGGACTGTTTGTTGAATGAATAAATGAACATTTGAATCATTTGTTGTTGTTAGGTGTTGTGGAGTTGGTTCCGACTTACAGCGACACTGGTTGCGGTGGTAGTTGTGCTGTCCAGTTGGTTCCGACTCAAAGTGATCCTGTACGGGGTTTCTGAGGTAGTAAATCTTTATAGGAGCAGAAAGCTTCATCTTTCACCAAGTAGCCGCTGGTAGATTCAAACTGTTGACCTTGTAGTTAACAGCCCAGTGTGTAACCAGTGCGCTACCATAGACCCTATGTGCAACGGAATGGCGGTGCCTAGTCATGCACCATCTTCACACGTGGTATGTTTGAGTCCACTGTTTTAGTGCCATCTTACTGGGAGTCTTTCTCTTTTTCTCTGACCCTCCAGCTTTCCAAGCATGATGTCCTTCTTTAGAGATTGCTTCCTCCTATCAATATGGAGGAGTACTGATATGGCGCTGCGGGTCAATGCATGGACTGAAAAGTCGGTTTGATCTGCAACGTTGGCAGTTCAAGCTCACCAGGCATTCCTCAAAAACCCTATACA